TAGCTGAGCCATCCTGCTACCTATTGGTAGCTTAGCGGCTGCTCAGCTCGGGCTGGCATCGAACCGCTGTTGCTCAGAGCTCAAACTCTTGAGCGAGCTCTTAACCAACTGAGCCACTCGGCCAGCCCAAGGCATCTTTTCTTAAAGCTGGGTCATCGATAGGGAAGAAATAGGGCCCTGAAAATTAGGATGGGGGCTTTGGGCAGACCCCAGCAAAGCTGGGGGCCTCAAACCCCTTCATTCCACTGGCTTCTTTGCCAGAAGAGCCCCCTTGGCACCCTGCCTGAGGAGATCAGTAAAGTTTACTGTAGGAATTTTACCCGAAGGACCTGGAATCACCTCCTCTGAGGCAGGGGCCTTACAGGACACTCAGGACTCCCAGCCCCTCCCCGCCACACACCCCCATCCTCCTCCCGCCCCTGATTTGCTTATAACTAGACTCAGGTCCCAGGAGGCCCCCAAGGGCGAGGTACAAAGTGTGACCCATGAGGAGGTGGCTATGCTCCAAAAGAGCTGCATGGTTTTCCTAGCTTATGCAGGCAGAAATCTGGAGAACACGTGTGGGATCCAGGTGGCAGGAATATGCGATGCATCAGGCCGAATCCATTGAAACAGGTCCGCTAACAGAGGGTCTGGACTCAATGCCACAGCTCGAGGGGTTAGAAAGGGCTCCAAGGACTGGTTGCTTATTTGAAACATGGACCACAAGGCAGATATACTAAGTGGGGTTGAAATGCCGAAACTACCTTGGGGTACCACAGAGTGGATATCTGAGGGCTTAGGGAGATTAGGGTGTTCTAGATGACTAACCATGTGAGACCTGCTCACCCACCATGGGAGGGTCCAGAGGATACACTTTTCCCCAAGACTGGGGAATATATCTGTGAGGCGAGCCTGGCACCCCTAAGAACTCTGCAGTCGGTCTTCTCTGCAGGTCAGAAACTACAGTGGGAGCTGCTGCCACAGAATAGTGATAACTAAATGCAGTGGGATCCCGGGGCGGCAGGGCCTGGTGGTGGCACTCAATTGCTAAAGACAAGGTGGACACTGTTGTTGTGGCGGCCAGTGGGGTCACAGCAGTAGTCAGCAGTCTGACCTGTAGAGGTGCAGGTGCAGGCTGGTGATCGTGGGTCCCTGGAAATGAAATGGAAGGACAGCCTGCTAAAATCTGACTTGGTCCACATGAGCGCAAGTGTTCTGGATCTAGCAAATAGACATCTGACCTGAGGCCCGGCCCCTCAATCACAGACCCAGGCCCCTTGAGGAAAGACCCCATTACACTGCCAACAATGTGTACTGCTGATCTTCACCCTGCCTCCCTCGGGGGCCTATGACTGCTCCCCAGGGACTAAGTACTGTTCCCAGGAAGGCAGCCCTGAGCCCGAGCTCATGGACCTCCCAGTGCAGGAACTGGCTTCCCCTGCTGACTCCATTGGACAGAGGTGCTGCAGGGTGTGCTCCAGCACCTTTAGGAGGAACCACGCTGGTCCCCAGGTGTCCTGTAGCTGGGTCACCAGGATGTTAGGGGTTGCATTCAGAGGGGTGTCCACGTCACAAATGTCCATGTGAAGGAGCAGCTGTTTTGGCTGCAGCAACTTGAACCTCATCAGACATGAGAGAAGTTGCTGGGTAAGCCACATTTTGGGTGCTCTTTACAGGGAGCAGATGATGGAGGGTGGCCTCCCTGAGCCGCAGCCTGGCCACAGCTCCCACAAGAGGCTGTGCTCTGAGGGCATCCTGCTGGGGCAGCAGCCGTAGTCTTTCAGGGCAGGGACACCTTCTCAAAACACACATCATCTGACTCATCTCTGCAGGAGGTGCCTGCCTGCTGACACGGCTGGAGGCAGCAGGGCACTGGGTTGGGGGTGGTCATTTTGGAAGGTGAACCTCTGGTATTCCTGCCCATGGCTGGGCTCTCGCATCTTGCACATGCCTCCCTGACCTCCAGCAAAGCTTCCACAGTCATTTCCAGGGATGTCCAGGCCCTAGAGACTGGACCAGAGGTGACAACAGCCACAGGCTCGTGCCAAATAGCAAAGAACTCTGTCAGACAAGTCTCCAAACCCACCTGGCCTCCTTGCGAAAGCAAATCCATGAACACACACACAGGGCCAACAGCAATGTCCATCCTCACGGGGTGCTAGGGAAAGTGGGGCTGCGTTGCAGAGATGGCGCTGCGAGGGAAGGGTGCCTCATTGGTTATTCTGCGCCCTTCCAAAACCCTGCCCAAACCCACTGTCACACTGGGATGCCCCTACAGCTGCCCTGCCTCAGCTTGGGTCCTACGACCCCAGGCACTGGGCTGGTACAGCCTCAGGAGGCTGTAAAGCCAGCCCCATCTAAGGGAATGTTCCCCTGCCCGTTTCAGTTCATGGTTTCAGCTCATCAAGAATCTTGGTGACTCTGTCCTTTGGCAGAATCACTGTATTTACAAAAACAGCCATGGAGGCATGTGTTCCAGACAAAGGGACCGGGTACTGCTAGTCAGCCGAACCCAGAGTTGCTTCTGCAATGTCTGAGGTGAGCTGTGTGTGTTGGCTGCCAGCATTCTACCCCTAGAGATGATAAAGAGGAAGTGTTTGCAGACATAGACCCAGTGTCCACATCTGGCCCTTCACATTAAAGACACAAGCAGAGGCACACACAGGATCATGGGCAGCTGATCTGAGCTGGGCTCCAGGCTGCCCACCAAGTCATGTGTTGGTAAACAGTGTCCTGGGGACATCTTGTGGCCGAATCTCAGTGTATGGGGGCTGAGTTGTCCTGTGACCGCCCCCACGAGCCTTGCATGCCTGACGTGGACCTCCTCTGTGCATGGTGGGGCCATGTGCCTGGGTCTGGGTGGATAAGGCGGCAGGTTCCTCAGCATCCAAGGCCTAATGGATATCACATGGAAAGACTGGTGGCTGGGAATTTTGTTTACTCAGCTGAGCCACCTAGAACAGCAGCAACACCAACTGTACTAGAAATGTTGGTGTCCGAACTAGCGGAGCCCTCCAGGTCATCTTCTGGGTTCCTCCCCTGCACCTGCAGCTTTTGCGTAACGTGGCCTCTGTGTCAACAGGACCTGGGACATTAGCAAATCACTGCAAACATGAACAGACTCGAACCTCCCACACCATTAGAAACAGGGGCCCCATTCTAGACACCTAGCATGGGGAAGATGCTTCCTTTTTGCAAAGCCTTAGATTGTCCTTGTCACAGTCCCAGTGTTGAGTCCTTCCTCAGGCCTGACCTGGTGCTGGGAGCTGGTCACACTGAGACCCAGGTGTGCAGGGGCACTGCCATCTTCCAGTAGTTGTGCAAGCCCCTTGGTAGAAGGTCTTGAGCCAGTCTCCCTGACCCTCCAGGGTGGGCTACAGAGTGGGCACAGGTGCTGTCCCTGCGGCTCTCACATAGGACAAGCAGGTGTCTGCAAGGAGAAGCCTCCATGTTGCTCGTCACCAGAATGCTCCATGCACCCACACATTCAGTCTCTTTTATGTTAACTTTGGGCCCTTTACATTCTGGATGCTTATAGCAGCTTTATTCATTAATAACTCCAAACTAGAAACAACTGAAATGTCTATTGACAGATGAATAGAGAAGCAAACTATGGTCTGTCCATACGGTGGGGTTCTGCCAGCCACGAAGAAGAACCTGGCTGGACCCTGTGGAAGGTACAGTAGTGGCTAGTCATCCAAGGCCTTCGTGAGCCAGAAAGCTCAGCGCACCCCAGATCTCCCCGAGGCCGTGCAGGGTATCTGTCCAGGTGGGGCTCCGTGAGGTGTCCCTGGAGTGACGCCCTTGCAGCGGCTGTTCTGGATGTGGCCTCATGATGCTCTGAGCAGCCCCCTGGGAGCTCGGACAGAGAACAAGAGCACAGTGGGAGGCCTTATGCTCTGCGGCAGAGTTTCTCCAGTGTCCCTTTTATCACAATACAAAAGATCTGGGCCGGCCAAGTGGCGTGATGGTTAAGAACTGGCTTGGGATGCCAGAGGGCCCTGGTTCGGATCCCACATATGAGGGCCAGTGACACTGCCCTCTACAGCTAAGATGCTGACCAACAGCTCAACCTGGAGCTGGGCTGCCGTGAGTCGCCGGCGACGGCGTAGGCTGCAGCCCCTGTGGCAGTGGGTTGCCATGGGCTACCGTGTGTAGCCAGCAGCCAGCGTGAGCGGCCAGCAGCCGCAGTGAGCGGCCGTCCAGAAGCCGGCGACTGATCTGCCTCGCCTGGGAAGAGCGCAATGATGGTGCCAACTTGGGCCAGTGAAGCAACGTCCTCCACAACTAGACTGAAGAACAAAACGACAGCAACTTGTCTGTTCCCCTTCCCCCAATTCCCCAGCACTGTTCCCATCCCCCAATTCCCCAATAAAAATCTTTAAAAAAAAAAAAGGTCTGTTTGCCTTAATGATGTTTCCATACACTGCATGTCAGTCAATAAATCTATCCTTGGCCATCCCGTTGCCAGTGTGGTTCCTCAACCTGTTAGACAAAAGAAAGAGCAGAGCTCAGGCCAGGCCTCTGGCCTTTACTTCAGGCCATGTGGAAAGCCCCACTCCTGGTCACATACCTGGAGGCTGGCCACGCTGGTGCATTTGCTGACAGTTGGTGTCTGCCTGTCCCTGAGGGTGGCTTACGGCCAGGCCATGGGCAGGGAGGCAGCATCCAATTGACAGTTGACCCACGTGCTTTCGTGTCAGACACTTTCAGCAAGACCCTCCCTGGGCCCAGCACACCCAGCCACGTCTGTCTGTCTGTGGCATCTAATTGG